TGCCAGTTTTTCCTCCCTGCTTTGCGGCACATTACTGATGTCTGTAGAGAGCCCTGTGTTGTTTACCAACACAGGGCTCTCTTCTGTCATTCACTCACCTGATCAGTGGGTCCTGACCATAATTAATTCTCTGGGACCCGCTGATTGGCTTCTGCTGCAGTGAATGGCAGCTCAAGTTTCCGGGAAGAAAGCCACGACTTTCAGGTATGTTACGGTGCCTATACGAGCCGACCTGTCACAGTATATGTACTGCGGCGGGTTGGCAAGCAGTAAAAGCGGAACTAAACCCTCCTATCCTTTTCAGCCAAGGAGGCTGCCATCTTAGCCTCTTGCCACCAGCCATTTGATGGTTTGACAGTTTTGGTTGAGAGCACAAGCAACTGTGACAGTTACATTCCTGGTATGCCGGGTTGATGATAGGTTTAGTTCCACTGTAACCTCTTCCCGTCCATCCATAGTCCATAGACGGCAAACGGGAAGCTTTGCTGATGTGGGCTAACGTACCTGTACCACCATACCAGTGTCCTGATCACCGCCATACCCTATACTAGCATCCTGATCACCACCATACCCTATACCAGAAATAAACCCCAAAAACACAGGTTGCCTCTTCCAATACCATACATACACTAAATCCCAGGTGCGGGCTCTGTCCACAGCAAACTTCAATATACAAACAAACATCCGATGGCTGCACATCCAGTAAAATCATATTTATTTCATCTTATAGTATATTCCACAAATATGACAGGGATACAGGACTCCATCCAAATCCTGTATCCCTGTCATATTTGTGGAATATGCTATAAGAAGTAAAGGTGATCTGGTGGATGTGCAGCCATCAGATGTATTTGTTTGTATATACCCCATACCACCACCCTGATTACTGCCATACCCCATAGCAGTGTCCTGATCACCGTCATACCCCATACCAGCGTCCTGATCACCGTCATACCCCATACCAGTGTCCTGATCACCGTCATACCCCATACCAGCGTCCTGATCACCGTCATACCCCATACCAGCGTCCTGATCACCGTCATAACCCCATACCAGCGTCCTGATCACAGCCATACTCCATACTAGCATCCTGATCACCACCATACCCCATACCAGCACCCTCATCAGCACCATACCCCATACCAGTGTCCTGATCACCGTCATACCCCATACCAGCGTCCTGATCACCGTCATACCCCATACCAGCATCCTGATCACAGCCATACTCCATACCAGCATCCTGATCACAGCCATACTCCATACCAGTGTCTTGATCACCACCATACCCCATACCAGTGTCTTGATCACCACCATACCCCATACCAGTGTCTTGATCACCACCATACCCCAAACCAGCACCCTCATCACTGCCATGCCCCAGACCAGCATCTTGATCACCACCATACCCCATAAAAGCGTCCTGGTCACAGCCATACTCCATACCAGCATCCTGATCACCACCATACTCCATACTAGCATCCTGATCACAGCCATACACCATACCAGCGCTGTGATCACCACCATATCCCATACCAGCGTTCTGATCACCGCCATACCCCATACCAGTATTCTTATCACCATACCCCATACCAGCGTCTTGGTCACCGCCATACATCATGCCATCATCCTGATCACCTCCATACTCCATACTAGCATCCTGATCACAGCCATACACCATACCAGCGCTGTGATCACCACCATATCCCATACCAGCGTTCTGATCACCGCCATACCCCATACCAGTATTCTTATCACCATACCCCATACCAGCGTCTTGGTCACCGCCATACATCATGCCATCATCCTGATCACCTCCATACTCCATACCAGTGCTGTGATCACTGCCATACCCCATACCAGTATTCTTATCATCATACCAGTGTCCTGGTCACCACCATACCCCATACCAGTATTCTTATCACCATACCCCACACCAGTGTCTTGGTCACCGCCATACCTCATGCCAACATCCTGATCACCTCCATACTCCATACCAGCGTCCTGGTCACCGCCATACCTCATGCTAATGTCCTGATCACCTCCATACCCCATACCAGCGTCCTGATCACAGCCATACGTCATATCAGTGTCTGGCATTTTAGGGTCTCAAAGGGGGTAAAAGTGTCCGGACCTGAAGTGGTTAAAACTTCAAAATGTGAAATGCATTTTTAGAAACAAAATACCTTGGGCCCCAACTTCCATCCACTTCTTGGAGCTGGTGGTGACATCACCATGTCTTGATTCTGCCTCTTAGGGAAACATGGGTGCTCAAAATCTCCTGAGAATGTACTGCAATACAGCGAATGCTCTACTGCATGCACATGTGCTGACGGGAACATGCTGTAGATAGGTACAGCTACTTACCACTTGTGTTCTATTATTGTTGCAATTCAGTAGCTAGCTATGTTTCCTGCAAAAGGTCAGTGTCGTAACGAAGAAGTGCTGCGCACATTGTGACACAGATCTTTCAATGACTGTAGTTCATTTTTACTTAAAGTATTCCTAAACCCACAACAGTACAATCACTCTGTATATGCAGTGAAGCATGCTTGTTACACTCACTGTGGAACCTAAGAGGTTAATCCTCTGCATTGTAAAAACAATGTTTGATCCTGACTTGTCAGATCCTCCCCATCTTCCAGTGTCTCCCTCTCATCTCTTGATAAGACATATTGTGTGGAGACACTCTGCACATGCTCAGTTTGGTGTGTATTGCTAGAGAGGTTTTTTTTTTCATGTGAGAGTGCATGTGATCAGCACAGGGCCAATCAGCACTCTCCAGACAGAGGGTCAGGGTTTCCGCATCCTCCTAGAGCAGAAAGAAAACTCCTCCTACAAGCTTTAACCAGTGCTTGGCCGGACACTGATAGAAGTCACAAGACTGTTATATACTGCTGAAGAGAAAAGGTATTTAGCAGTTTATATTAATTAAAATAATTACATTTCCATGTTTTGTGTACTGTGGGAGACCAGATATAGTAAATGCAGGGTCTGGGGAGACCAGATATAGTGAATGCGGGGTCCGGGGAGACCGGATATAGTGAATGCGGGGTCCGGAGAGACCGGATATAGTGAATGCAGGGTCGGGAGACCGGATATAGTGAATGCTGAGTCCGGGGAGACGGATATAGTGAATGCTGAGTCCGGGGAGACCGGATATAGTGAATGCGGGGTCCGGGGAGACCGGATATAGTGAATGCGGGGTCCGGAGAGACCGGATATAGTGAATGCGGGGTCCGGGGAGACCGGATATAGTGAATGCTGAGGGTCCGGGGAGACCGGATATAGTGAATGCGGGGTCCGGGGAGACCGGATATAGTGAATGCGGGGTCCGGGGAGCCGGGATATAGTGAAAGCGGGGTCCGGGGAGACCGGATATAGTGAATGCGGGGTCCGGGGAGACCGGATATAGTGAAAGCGGGGTCCGGGGAGACCGGATATAGTGAATGCGGGGTCCGGGGAGACCGGATATAGTGAATGTGGGGTCCGGGGAGACCGGATATAGTGAATGCGGGGTCCGGGGAGAGAGGATATAGTGAATGCAGGGTCCAGGGAGAGCGGATATAGTGACTGCAGGGTCCGGGAGAGCGGATATAGTGAATGCAGGGTCCGGGGAGAGCGGATATAGTGAATGCGGGGTCCGGGGAGACCGGATATAGTGAATGCGGGGTCCGGGGAGACCGGATATAGTGAATGCGGGGTCCGGGGAGACTAGATATAGTGAATGCGGGGTCCTGGGAGACCAGATATAGTGAATACGGGGTCCAGGGAGACCAGATATAGTGAATGCGGGGTCCAGGGAGACCAGATATAGTGAATGCAGGGTCCTGGGATACCAAATATAGTGAATGCGGGGTCCGGAGAGACCGGATATAGTGAATGCGGGGTCCGGAGAGACCGGATATAGTGAAAGTGGGGTCCGAGGAGACCGGATATAGTCAAATGCGGGGTCCGGGGAGACCGGATATAGTGAATGCGGGGTCCGGAGAGACCGATATAGTGAATGCGGGGTCCGGGGAGACCGTATATAGTGAATGCTGAGTCCGGGGAGACCGGATATAGTGAATGCTGAGTCCGGGGAGACCGGATATAGTGAATGCTGAGTCCGGGGAGACCGGATATAGTGAATGCGGGGTCCGGGGAGGCCGGATATAGTGAAAGCGGGGTCCGGGGAGACCGGATATAGTGAATGCGGGGTTCGGGGAGACCGGATATAGTGAATGCGGGTCCGGGGAGACCAGATATAGTGAATGCGGGGTCCGGGAGACCGATATAGTGAATGCAGGGTCCGGGGAGACCAGATTTAGTGACTGCAGGGTCCGGGGAGACCGGATATAGTGAATGCGGGGTCTGGGGAGGCCGGATATAGTGAATGCGGGGTCTGGGGAGGCCGGATATAGTGAAAGTGGGGTCCGAGGAGACCGGATATAGTCAATGCGGGGTCCGGGGAGACCGGATATAGTGAATGCGGGGTCCGGAGAGACCGGATATAGTGAATGCGGGGTCCGGGGGGAGACCGGATATAGTGAATGCTGAGTCCGGGGAGACCGGATATAGTGAATGCTGAGTCGGGGGAGACCGGATATAGTGAATGCGGGGTCCGGGGAGACCGGATATAGTGAATGCGGGGTCCGGAGAGACCGGATATAGTGAATGCGGGGTCCGGGGAGACCGGATATAGTGAATGCTGAGTCCGGGGAGACCGGATATAGTGAATGCGGGGTCCGGGGAGACCGGATATAGTGAATGCGGGGTCGGGGGAGGCCGGATATAGTGAAAGCGGGGTCCGGGGAGACCGGATATAGTGAATGCGGGGTCCGGGGAGGCCGGATATAGTGAAAGCGGGGTCCGGGGAGACCGGATATAGTGAATGCGGGGTCCGGGGAGACCGGATATAGTGAATGTGGGGTCCGGGGAGACCGGATATAGTGAATGCGGGGTCCGGGGAGAGAGGATATAGTGAATGCAGGGTCCAGGGAGAGCGGATATAGTGACTGCAGGGTCCGGGGAGAGCGGATATAGTGAATGCAGGGTCCGGGGAGAGCGGATATAGTGAATGCAGGGTCCGGGGAGAGCGGATATAGTGAATGCAGGGTCCGGTGAGAGCGGATATAGTGAATGCAGGGTCCGGGGAGACCGGATATAGTGATTGCAGGGTCTGGGGGGAGACCAGATATAGTGAATGCAGGGTCCGGAGAGACCGGATATAGTGGATGCTGAGTCCGGGGAGACCAGATATAATTAATGCGGGGTCCGGGGAGACCGGATATAGTGAATGCGGGGTCCGGGGGAGACCGGAGATATATAGTGAATGCGGGGTCCGGAGAGACCGGATATAGTGAATGCGGGGTCCGGGGAGACCGGATATAGTGAATGCTGAGTCCGGGGAGACCGGATATAGTGAATGCGGGGTCCGGGGAGACCGGATATAGTGAATGCAGGGTCCGGGGAGGCCGGATATAGTGAAAGCGGGGTCCGGGGAGACCGGATATAGTGAATGCGGGGTCCGGGGGAGACCGGATATAGTGAATGCGGGGTCCGGGGAGACCGGATATAGTGAATGCGGGGTCCGGGGAGACTAGATATAGTGAATGCGGGGTCCTGGGAGACCAGATATAGTGAATACGGGGTCCAGGGAGACCAGATATAGTGAATGCGGGGTCCAGGGAGACCAGATATAGTGAATGCAGGGTCCTGGGATACCAAATATAGTGAATGCGGGGTCCAGGGAGACCAGATATAGTGAATGCAGGGTCTGGGGGAGACCGGATATAGAGAATGCAGGGTCCTGGGAGACCAGATATAGTGAATGCTGAGTCTCCGGGGAGACCAGATATAGTGAATGCGGGGTCCGGGGAGACCGGGATATAGTGAATGCGGGGTCTGGGGAGCCGGATATAGTGAATGCGGGGTCTGGGGAGGCCAGGATATAGTGAAAGTGGGGTCCGAGGAGACCGGATATAGTCAATGCGGGGTCCGGGGAGACCGGATATAGTGAATGCGGGGTCCGGAGAGACCGGATATAGTGAATGCGGGGTCCGGGGAGACCGTATATAGTGAATGCTGAGTCGGGGAGACCGGATATAGTGAATGCTGAGTCCGGGGAGACCGGATATAGTGAATGCTGAGTCCGGGGAGACCGGATATAGTGAATGCGGGGTCCGGGGAGGCCGATATAGTGAAAGCGGGGTCCGGGGAGACCGGATATAGTGAATGCGGGGTTCGGGGAGACCGGATATAGTGAATGCGGGGTCCGGGGAGACCAGATATAGTGAATGCGGGGTCCGGGGAGACCGGATATAGTGAATGCAGGGTCCGGGGAGACCAGATTTAGTGACTGCAGGGTCGGGGGGAGACCGGATATAGTGAATGCGGGGTCTGGGGAGGCCGGATATAGTGAATGCGGGGGTCTGGGGAGGCCGGATATAGTGAAAGTGGGGTCCGAGGAGACCGGATATAGTCAATGCGGGGTCCGGGGAGACCGGATATAGTGAATGCGGGGTCCGGAGAGACCGGATATAGTGAATGCGGGGTCCAGGGAGACCGGATATAGTGAATGCTGAGTCCGGGGAGACCGGATATAGTGAATGCTGAGTCCGGGGAGACCGGATATAGTGAATGCGGGGTCCGGGGAGACCGGATATAGTGAATGCGGGGTCCGGAGAGACCGGATATAGTGAATGCGGGGTCCGGGGAGACCGGATATAGTGAATGCTGAGTCCGGGGAGACCGGATATAGTGAATGCGGGGTCCGGGAGACCGGATATAGTGAATGCGGGGTCCGGGAGGCCGGATATAGTGAAAGCGGGGTCCGGGGAGACCGGATATAGTGAATGCGGGGTCCGGGGAGACCGGATATAGTGAATGTGGGGGTCCGGGGAGACGGATATAGTGAATGCGGGGTCCGGGGAGACCGGATATAGTGAATGCGGGGTCCGGGGAGACTAGATATAGTGAATGCGGGGTCCTGGGAGACCAGATATAGTGAATACAGGGTCCAGGGAGACCAGATATAGTGAATGCGGGGTCCAGGGAGACCAGATATAGTGAATGCAGGGTCCTGGGATACCAAATATAGTGAATGCGGGGTCCAGGGAGACCAGATATAGTGAATGCAGGGTCTGGGGAGACCGGATATAGAGAATGCAGGGTCCTGGGAGACCAGATATAGTGAATGCTGAGTCTGGGGAGACCAGATATAGTGAATGCGGGGGTCCGGGGAGACCGGATATAGTGAATGCGGGGTCTGGGGAGGCCGGATATAGTGAATGCGGGGTCTGGGGAGGCCGGATATAGTGAAAGTGGGGTCCGAGGAGACCGGATATAGTCAATGCGGGGTCCGGGGAGACCGGATATAGTGAATGCGGGGTCCGGAGAGACCGGATATAGTGAATGCGGGGTCCGGGGAGACCGTATATAGTGAATGCTGAGTCGGGGAGACCAGATATAGTGAATGCGGGGTCCGGGGAGACCGGATATAGTGAATGCAGGGTCCTGGGGAGACCAGATTTAGTGACTGCAGGGTCCGGGGAGACCGGATATAGTAAATGCGGGGTCTGGGGAGGCCGGATATAGTGAAAGTGGGGTCCGAGGAGACCGGATATAGTCAATGCGGGGTCCAGGGAGACCGGATATAGTGAATGCGGGGTCCGGAGAGACCGGATATAGTGAATGCGGGGTCCAGGGAGACCGGATATAGTGAATGCTGAGTCCGGGGAGACCGGATATAGTGAATGCTGAGTCCGGGGAGACCGGATATAGTGAATGCGGGGTCCGGGGAGACCGGATATAGTGAATGCGGGGTCCAGGGAGGCCGGATATAGTGAAAGCGGGGTCCGGGGAGAACGGATATAGTGAATGCGGGGTTCGGGGAGACCGGATATAGTGAATGCGGGGTCCGGAGAGACCGGATATAGTAAATGCGGGGTCCGGGGAGACCAGATATAGTGAATGCGGGGTCCGGGGAGACCGGATATAGTGAATGCAGGGTCCTGGGAGATCAGATATAGTGAATGCAGGGTCCAGGGAGAGCGGATATAGTGAATGCAAGGTCCGAGGAGATCGGATATAGTGAATGCAAGGTCCGAGGAGATCGGATATAGTGAATGCAGGGTCCGGGGAGACCAGATATAGTGAATGCAAGGTCCGAGGAGATCGGATATAGTGAATGCAGGGTCCGGGGAGACCAGATATAGTGACTGCAGGGTCCGGGGAGACCAGATATAGTGAATGCAGGGTCCGGGGAGACCAGATATAGTGAATGCGGGGTCCGGGGAGACCAGATATAGTGAATGCAGGGTTCGGGGAGACCAGATATAGTGAATGCAGGGTCCGGGGAGACCAGATATAGTGAATGCAGGGCCCGGGGAGACCGGATATAGTGAATGCGGGGTCCGGGGTTTAGTAACACTTTAACAGAAATGTAATGGGCGAGATGCTAGAGCTGCAGCGGATCACTGGTATGGCATGGCCCTACATCACACATCTTTTGGCAGGTTGAAAGTCTCTGTGTATGTGTTCCAGGCGTATATATAGCTGGACCCTGGAGCTGCCCTTTAAACTATCACTGTGCTTGTATGAAGCCTTGCACTAATATTTTACGCCTATTTTAAAAGGTTTACAGTATGGCAGCCATGGAGCCATCTAAGCCGAGGGGGCCCCTGGGACAAGTCCAGGTCAAGCACATGGACACAGCTGGTCACACAGTTCCCAAGATGTCCTGATCAATGAACTGGTTAATACCACGTTCTTACAAATGTCTGTAATTACTGTCACACTGTATGGAACTAGCGACATGACCCAGATATCATGAATTCAGATGTGTCTCACGCGTGTGACATATTACAGGCTTCCAGGCATTTCATGGAGCTGCTTATCTCAGCTTCTGCAGCCAGACACCAATTTGCATTAAATCCGATTATTTTGCCCTCTTTCTCTGAAGAAAAATAACAAGATCAAATATGGGCAGAACGGAGGGAAATAACAGATTCAAATCCCTATGCTGGGCAAAATGAGAATCTGCGACTCACACGCTGCATGGACACAGCATGAGTGACTGGCCTGACACAACCTGCCGCACTGCTACGCTAGGGAGGGTAACGGGAATAGCTAACCTCACCAAGGCTGCTTTCACACTGATCCATTTTTATTTTGTTTTTTTTTTAAAAAAGCAGAAGAAAAACACATGACTATGAAATCCTGTGGAGCTGTTCACACTGATCAGTTGTGGGTCCGCTGTGTAAATGTAAAATCCTGCTTGCTGTATTTTTGGCACATTTTTGGGCAACACAGTGGCTAAATGGTTACCACTTCCACCTGGCAGTACTCGGGTCAATGGTTCGAATCCCAGCCACGGCACCACCTGCCTGGAGTTTGCATGTTCTCCCTGTGCCTGCGTGGGTTTCCTCTGGGAACTCCAGTTTCCTCCCACACTCCAAGGACATGCTGGTAGGTTAATTGGCTCCTGTCTAAATTGGCCCTAGTATGTGTATGTATGAATGTGAGTTAGGGACCTTAGATTGTACACCCCTTGAGGGTTAGGGACTGATGTGAATGTACAATATATATATGTAAAGCGCTGCGTAAATTAACAGCGCTATATAAGTACCTGAAATAAATAATAAATAAATTTTTGGTGCTGTAAAAATACTGTACTAAAAACATACCTCCCCATTGAAATGAATCGAAAAAGCACCAAAACAGTTAAAAAATGCAGCAAAAAATGACCCGGGATTGCATTTTCGGTGCGGTTTTTGAGTCACGTGTCCTTTTTTTCACACGCTGTAAAAACGTGGCAAAAACACATGTGTTTTTTTTATTGCGTTTTTTTTGCATCGGAGCAGTGTAAAAGCAGTCATACAGTAACTTTCCACTCTTTATTAAAGCAGAACACCAGGCAAACCACTAAATACACAGCTGAAATACATATATGAGAATTGTTTTACTTGCCAAAGCATTTGTATTTCTGTTGATCCAGTCCTGAAATTTATGCTGCTATGTCACCCAGCACAGTCCTGTTTAGCATGGTAGGAGACCTTGTCTTTCCCTGCTGCAGTTCCACTTTTGCTCATCTTTGCGTCACTCTGCTCTCTCCTCCTATCAACATGCTTGTTGTACTGCAGCTCTCCCAATTGGCTCCTTGCGCTGCTTCTCTCCCTCCCCCTCTTTGAACTATGCTTGACAGTGACTGCAAGAGGCTAATACGCTGGCACTTGCACTGCTTGAATTTGAAAACGAAAACACTTTTCATATATGTGTTGTGATTGCGAATAATTTGCTGAATTATTTTGTGTATTTTATATCGGCTTGAAGTTTATCTTTAAAATAACAGGAATTACTGACATGTAGCCTTCTCCTCTTCACTGACATGACAGAAATTACTGACTGTTTGTTTCTAGTCACTGGGAGAACAGAAATTCATGACACAGGAGTCCGTGTATAAATATTTGCTGTGCAAATGTCTCGAACATTCACACAGCTGTCACAAATAATCACCGTAATGTGTCTAATACGCTTGTTTGTGATCATCAGCCATCGTGACCATAATGCAGTATTTTCCTTATTGAGGTATTTCTGGAAAATACTACATTATGGCCACCGGATGGAGCTGATGATCATAAGAAATAAACATATAAAAGAAATTTCTGTGTTTATTTGGGGTGACGGTGCGAAAACGTGAGACATTGGCACAGTATTTATAAATGTGCCCCATAGCATTCCTCTCTTAACTAAGGTGACAGGAATTTCTTACAAATGGAAGGGGGGGGGGGTTACTAAAACTGAAGCGCTCAGAATCTGGTGCAGCTGTGGTAATCAGATTCTAACTTCAGCTTGTTCAATAGACAAAAAAAACCTACCGGTATAAGCTGATTGGTTACAATGCACAGCTGCACCAGATTCTAGGTGCCTAATTGGATACAATTGAACCCTGGTTCACACTGATGCGGTGCAGAATTTGCAGCGTTTTCAGTGTGAATTCCGCACCGCATCAGAATCGCACCCCGTTCATGCGAACCACTGCAGGTGTATATGTTAAAAACACCCCAAAAGCGGTCCGCAATACGCGGTGCAATGTGAAGAATCGGATCGCATAGGTGTGAATACCTATGTGATCCGATTCTAGTGTGAACCCAAAAAAGGGTCCTGCACATTTTTGGTGCGGTGCGCAGAGAGCCATCCAAAATGTACGGCTCCGATCTCACCGCACACAAATCACGTGATTTGCACAGGAATGCGGTGCAGTTCCTGTGCGAATCACATGTGATATACGGAGCCACACGTATGCAAACCCAGCCTTAAAGTGTTGTTTAGGTTTGACTTGGTATTATATGGCTTTTGGTAAATCTTTTAAGTAAAATTCTCAAGAAAATTGTATAATGTATGGCCAGTCTTAAAACGGCCATACATTATACATCGAAAATCTTTCTGCAAATTTTCTAATTTCGCACCATTAGTGGGCCTCAGAAACAGATGATTTTCGTGTGAGCATCGAATCTGAGTGATTGGGCATGTTGGAAATGTTTTGAAAAACGAACAAATTTCTAATTAATGATGGGAGAATCGCGTGAGAAATTTGATCAAAAAAGAAATGAGCTGTGACCTGGAAAGAAAACACAATTCTTGGCCATGAAAATTCTTTTCTGTAGCAACATAAGGTGAAATGGAAGGCTTGCTTCGTCGAAATTTGAAATGAATGGTGGCACCATCGGGTTACATAACGCACAAAATTGCCGATTTCCTAAAGAAAATTCATTCAGAATTCGGCCAATGTATGGCCTGCATTAGTAAATCCCCCCCCCCCGGGGGTCTCAACGAGCAGATGGTTCAAAGCCAAGCCATACATAGAAAATCGCTCACAAGTTGGGGGGTTTTAGTAGTCACAACCTTGACAAGTTTCTGGACCGCCTGAGCCATGCTGGAGCGGAGGTAAGGCCTAGCTTCCCAGAAGTAAAGAGTGACCTCCCGTCAGAACGCAGAAAGAAGACTGAACCTCCCAATGTCCCCCTCCTAGAGCAGACAAGTCGAGCAAGCGGTGAATAGGGCGATCTACTCGTCAAGGTTGTGACTACTAAAACCCCCCAACTTGTGAGCGTTTTTCTATATATGGCTTGGCTTTGAGCCATCTGCTCGGTGAGACCCCCAGTGGAAGAGGAGCTGTACTAGAGGCTGGTGTCCAGACTGAGGATCCATACTCCTGACAGGCTGACCTAAATTAAAGGGGACCCTGCAGAGAGCTTATATTTAATGCACAAATTCCTTGTTCATTTGGTGAGTGCACAATTTATACAGATTGGAGCACAGAGTCACTATTATGAATTGCAAAGGAGGATTCACTTCCCGCTGACAATTGCATATCAAGCTTTCACATTTCTGCACCTATAGACTGTTCCTTTATATTGGGTGCGATTTGGCACCATATGCTTACGTTTTGTGATTTCAGTAATACCGTAGCGCTGCACCTATTTTATTTATTGAACATTACCAGGTCCCGGATATCCTTGGTTGGTGCAATTTGCAGCTGGACACTTTATATTTTATGTTTTAATTACTCTATTTTATATAAATGTCTGTTTTATAGGATTTTGTGCCCTCGCTATAGACATTTGCTTCGGGTTTTCTGGTGGACCTGATTGGACGGGTAGACTTCCCCACCATCAGAAGACACTGATCAGTGCTGCTGGCTACAGCCAGCAGCACTGATCATTTGGGAAAAACCCGACAGGCTGGTTGTACAGACATCAATCAGTAGATTGGTTGCACAGAAACCAATCAGCCCATACCTGGATTGAAATTTAGCCGGTCCCTGCACATTTGTTGTTATTGGAATTAGGTTGAGGCAGCCTTTAGTAGATCTATTATGTTTATTGTACTCTGTTATCCTTATCCGTTTGGCCCTTTGTTTCATTTGGGACAGCACACTGGCTAAATGGTTAGCACTTCCACCTGGCAGTACTTGGGTCATTGGTTCAAATCCCAACCACGGCATCACCTGCCTGGAGTTTGCATGTTTTGCCTGGGATTCCTCCAGGTACTCCGGTTTCCTCCCACACTCCAAAGACATGCTGGTAGGTAAATTGGATCCTGTCTTAATTGTCCCTAGTATGTGTATGTATGAATGTGAGTTAGGGACCTTAGATTGTACGCCCCTTGAGGGTTAGGGACTGATGTGAATGTACAATATATATATGTAAAGCGCTGTGTAAATTGACAGCGCTATATAAGTACCTGAAATAAATAAATAATATTAAATACTTTTGAGGTTGACAAGCCTTTTCGATATGAGACTAGCATGAA